ATATATATATATATATATATATATATATATATATATATATATATATATATATATATATATATATATATATATATATATATATATATAATTCAGCCAAGGTTTGAATGATATAATTCAGCCAAGGTTTGAATGTTTGCGTCGCTACTCTGAGTTTCACGCTTTACGTGAGTTTCACGCTTTACGTTTATTCAAACCTTGACTGAATTAATTCCGCTCTACTTATTATGGTAATGAGCGCTCTTCTACCTTGCGTCAACTCCACAACTATTCTCTTAAAAATAGTCTTCAGTTTCTGTATATAAATATCAGATATGTGCAATTTGGTGTAGGTGCGTGTCAAGCTTTACACTCAGAAATAAATGTTCTGAGCCCTCATAAGTAATTAACCGGCGTGACAAATCTAGTGCGAAGCTACTACAAAAGTAGCCGAGTTTAATTATAGTATTAGTCCTTGCAACCTGTTGATATATCCGTACTGACAAGGTCAATGGGTCAAGAACTGAGTCGCCAATATTGATCTTTCTGACCACGTGTCTTCATGCTCTTCCCATTATTCATGCCAACAAATTATTCGCTTGAACAGGTATCGCATTTGGCACCGGTTGCTATTGCTCTTACTTTAGCAGGTGGCTTTTCCTGCTTTGTAATCATGTTTGCTGACAGGAATAAAATGTAACAGCACACGGCAACTTGTGGAACGATAATACACGTGAAAGTTGTAATTATATACAGACTATCAGCTTTAATTCTGGCTAGCGTATTGATTTATCGTGAGAGCCGACGTACGGCAGCCGAGCTTGGCTAGCTGTCATATTGAGTTGTGTTCGAGCAGACTTTGACTGATTGGTATATCTTTGTCTTGGACTGTCACAATGTATTAAAATACACTTTGTCAGGTACTCAACGACTTTAATCTTCATATTCTACATTTGAATAATGTTAAGAATACATTAGCGATTCATCTGTAAAATCCAGTTATGAAAGGGAACTAGACATTGTAGCTCGCGCTTAGACTACTTATGTAGTATAGCCACGTCAACAGAAATTGATCGTAATTTATGATCGAAGCCAAGATAGTTGTACAGTCTTATAGATGATACAGCTATTTCATGATTGTCATGGTCAATTGTACGTTCCAGGCGCGAACAGCAAAATGGTATACCCGATTCTGACATTTATAGCTGTTTATACGTAGCCTATATGGCCATATAGCCTCTTATAGTGTTTTGGAAATTCCAAACATGCATGCATAATTCTCTGGCAACACGTCCTGAAATTTATAAATTAGCGACAAATGATTGACGTTTGCACTGTAAAAAGCTGCCCTATTACTAATGAACCATTTGCATTATAGACTAAATTTTGATCTAGACAAAAATTTCATCACAGCTTGAAAGAGCATCACAAAATCAGTAGTAATATTCCAAATTTCGTTGCGAAATGTTGTAAAATGCGGATAATATACATTGCGAAGTTTGCCTTTTTCCAGTCATTTTGTATTACGCACGGGAAATTGACAGCCCAATCGGGTGTTGGGGCATCAATTTCCCGTTTGTAATACAAAATGACTGAAAATTGCAAATTTCGCAAGGCGTATATTATTCGCATTTTACAACATTTCGCAACGAAACTTTGCAATATTACAGTAATTTTGTCTACACTTGTTTAGATCAAAATTTGGTCTATAATGCAAATGCGTCCATTGATTTGACGAAAACACTTCTCCATTCAAGTCTGAATAAGCCTAAAGCCGGATCAAACGAGGACGAGAGTTAATGAAAGTTTCAACTCTCGCTTGCGTTTGACCCCCAACTTGAGGCCCGACTTGAGGCCGGGCCCGGTTTAGAACGCAAACTTAATTTTCATGCACCGAACCTAATAATTATTATAACGATTAAATAAGACTGAAAAGTGGCGTCTGAATCAATTAAATTCGGCAAGTTTTGCTTAGGTTTGCTAACGGCACGAAATATGGCAATTCATCGTATTATCCGACACAGATTCGACGTGGGTTTATACGCTGTGCTTTTCATGCGCCGAACCTATAATGCATACTTTCTTAATTAATTAACATATATTATCATATGATCATAATGTATTAGCAATTTAGCGGTAAAAAATTTCTGATACAGTTTACTCACGGTACAATTAAGTACTGTTTTGGCACGGTACAATTAAGTCACCAACCCTCATGCAACTCTTGAGTTGTTCTCGTTTCATCGCGACACGAGAGTTGAGAAATCTGTCGTGCAAAACATCGCTTCTTAACTCCTATCAACCATCATTCTCCTTTGATCAGGCCTTAATTAGAACTACACATACGACAGTTTGCTTTACCAAACGGGTAAATATAGAAATAATTGAGTACTATAGAAATTATATATATATATATATATATATATATATATATATATATATATATATATATATATATAATTAATTCTTGTTGTCCGTAATTGAACGAAGAGTGCTCTATACCAATTAATATACGATAGAGCTTAAATAATTCTTTAATCTTAAAATATATATATATATATATATATATTTTATATATTTTAAGATAAAATAAATATATATATATATATATATATATATATATATATATATATATATATATATATATATATATATATATATATATATATATATATATATATATATATATATATATATATTCACCACTTGGCAGTTGGAGGGTGTTTGTGAGCAGGTTTCCCCCCAAATGTTTGAAACTACTGCAGTACGGAGTGGAGAATTATGAGTATTACATTTGCATTTGGGGCAGCGAACAATATCAAATTCTTTCTCTCTAATTTTACCTCAATCTGTTCTGTTTCCCCATTGTGTTTGCACCCGTTGCACCACTGTGTTTCGTTATGACATCGGAAACCTTGAATCCCCCTATATTGTAGAGCAACATAAAAAAGCATACAGGTTCTATCGAATCGGGTCAGCTTGATCGCATTGTAATATCACATGAGAGGTGCTTTGCACGAACGTTGGTTGTCTACAATATTTCCTGCCATGAGCAGAATGGCAGTGTCACGTCTTAAAAATAGTGAAATTGGTATAATTTTCGTCAGGCATTTCAAATTCTTAGAAAGCTTCGGATTGATAAGGATACAGCCACCTGAAAAATACAAGGAGATCTTCGACGTTTCGAGCGAAGACCCTTCGTCGTGAAACACCGCATTGTTATTTAGAATTTAGATTGCTGTATTTTTTTGAAAATTATCTAATTTCAACTTTACAGATGGATTACTATCATGACAATAATGACAAGTCGGAAATTTCTAATAATCTGAAGGAAATGGTATGTTTTACATCCTTTTGGAAACAGAGTCACAGAATCCTGAAGATTTGACTACAAATGTCATGCAATTTGACTGTATACGATGAGGAATCTCTTCTGAGACCGTTTTATCTTACTTTCAAATTAATTTTTAGATTCACAACAAGGTGGTTTCAAATATCAACATCAAGTCGTTCTTTTCTGATCAACTTACGGAAGATCACCTCACTCCTTTGTCCAAGGTACTGTTACTGTATTACAATTACGAGGGGAACAAGGTGAGAGCGCTCGTTCAGTAGTTCATATAGGAAGAGTAGAATCATACAATTTAACCAAATGGACATCTACCTTTCTAGAGGGTCCTGATGAGGCAGTCTAGATCACATTGTCGAGCATTTTTTTCATACCAAATCCCCTTTTCAACTGCAAACATCCCTGCTTCACTTGTGTTTCGACTTTTAAAACACAATATTCCGCTTCCAATACCTGTATAACCTTCTTTGGAAATAACGTCACGAAATATAAGTTTTAATGTCTATAAACGCCTGTCATTTTCTGTCACATACTGATCTGGAACCGGAAAAACGACAGAAAGCAGTCTTCCAGGACATTGTTAACAAACTCTCAATCATCATTGAAAACTGTGAAATTTCTTACCAAAGCAACAGACACTATCTTTATAGCACGCCATTCCGGGGGTCACGACGCCATCTTGCCAAGTAGGGCAAACTTATTAGTGAATACAAAGAAATTCCTGGTAAATCCCTATAGGTAAATTTGCTTGCGGGGCAGCACAATAGTTAAAAACAATACTTTCAAGATGGCGACGCGAACCCCGAAATGCCGTATGTTATACCGGTTTTTCCGTTCAATTTTTATGTCGGTCATGCATTCCCAGTCCCTTGGTAAATCGCAGTTCCCATTTTACACTTTGGGGATCCTCTTTATACCACCATGCTAGAAATACATGCATGCAAGAACCCCTCGCCTATATTTTCCAAACATTTATTTAACATGAAGTATTAGTAATTGATCAACACGGAACGTAGTCTTGCTTTCACGTCAGTGTTGCCAACTTGCCATGACAACACGATACTTTTAATATTTATTATATTTTTTGTACAACACGCTAAAAATAGTTGAAAGATTATTGCTTTTAACTGTATAATAATGAATTTCTGAAATATATACTGTATATAAATATGTTGTACTGCATTTTGTGAGCTTTCACTTAATAGATAGCTTAAGATCTACGACGTCGATGTCAGCTAGGACGTCAGGGCTATGCAGAGGACTGGGACTAGGATGTCGTCTTAATGTAGTCCCAGTCCTCTGCTTAGCCCTGACGTCCTAGCTAACGTCGACGTCGTAGATCTTAAGCTATCTAATGTAAAATTTAAACTGTATCGCTTCGTAAAATGTTGTGAAATGTTCATTTTAAATTTTAATAACTAAACCTTTTCCCCATAAACTGTTTTCACTTAATAAAACAAAATAAAAAAACAAACAAAAAAACAAAATAAAAAACAAATTGTTGAGTAATTTTAGTTCGGTTTTCAAATGAATTTGCTCTCCTTCACATTTTGAGTAATTTAGCAAACTTACAGCTTCATTGAAACATGAACATTCAAACTTGCCCTTTATATTCACGATTTCCCATAGTAAATAAATTCTTCTCATTTCTTCAAACAAAAATTGCTTCAAAGTTCATTGTGTGAAACGTGATTTTCCAAACATATGCTTTTGAAAATTGAAATCTTGCTTATCTCACTCCTGACAAACAGCCATATTTTTGAGATCAGTGAGCATGGGCGTACGGGAAGGAAAAAATAAGGGGGGCGGAAAGAAATTTGGCCGAATTTTTCGGATTGTACCCGAGTTGTCAAAAAAAAATTTCCGGAGAAACTTTCCAAAATTGTTGTCGAGGGGGGGCAGGAGGAGTGATTACGAAAAATTTCTATTAGATAGAATATTTCCCACAAAATTGACAGAATTTCCCACAAAATTGACATAATTTGTCCCATTTATTTTTATAATAAGCCAATATTGCCTAACTGTGAAGCGAATATTGCCCGCGCCCGGTACGCCTATGTCAGTGAGGTTCACCCATGAACTATAGTCACGCGCCCGCGATCATTGATAAACTTTAGACTTCGCTAATGCTTTCCTTCCTACGGGTATAAACACCCGGGCGGAATTTGTACCGTCGGCTAACGCCCGGAACGGCGCTCCGCGTCGTTGGCTCGGGGACTATCTTTATAGACTTTTTCCCTAATCAGACGAAAGGTCTTTATTTGACAGATTGCACTAATACGCACAAGCTTAAAATTGTATTATTCGCTACATACACTATACAACCTTGAACGGATAAATGGTAGAGACTACCTTAAAAAAATAGCTATTCCATTAATTTTTTCCATATACTTAGGCTGAGGAATATGCTCTAAAGAAAGTACGACGAAAGCTCAAAAACAAAGTAAGAGACTTTATACCTATTTTGAGGAAACTGATAGGAATATTGAAAATTGTCCGATACGTACATATATAAGGCCAATCAAACAAGTCTTTTGTGTTCTCCGCCGCTAGCCAAGCTAGTGACAACTTATGCGAATAAGTAGACTCATTAAAACTATTCAAATGATCCCGCTTCTTTTACCTACTTACTTTCTGTACCAAATCCTCAACTAAAATATGACCCGCTTCTCCACTTTTTCCCCTTGTCGTACAGCGGCTTCAAGGCTTTTCTAAAATAAAGTTGGCAGCTAGCTTGATCCAAATTGGCCCAACTCTTCTGTTTGATCTTCTAGCAAAGTCTCGTGACAGTAAATTAGCTCCTGAAACAGCTCCTAAATAAAACAATTCTCGTTGATATATTTTATCTTGTTTTGAAAGATATCCGCTCAAGAAAGTAGAAAAAGAAAAAAATATCATTTAGAAAATCTAGAGAAAAGGTAAGCCACTAGTACTAGGCAAACTCCGAAAGCACAAACGGCGTGAGAGCGGGAGGAAAGCCTGGAGCTACGGGAGAGGGGGGTGTGACACCCCCAGAAATTTTATTCGAAGCCTCAGTCGGCAGGACGGCTATTGTAGTCGGCAGACAAAAATTGTTTTGACGAATAAGACTACTACCGATTTGATTATCACGTGTTATATAAGAATTCGAAATGGCAATTTTGGTTACTCGGAATTTACTCAGCAGGATAATCATTATAATCGGTTTATAGTATAACAAGCCCAGATTGACAGTTAAACCACATAGCGATACAAAAGATCTTAAATAAAGTATATGTTTGATAGGTAGAACCGCTGAACACAATATATTCCCGCCAAAAACTCACTTATCAAATATGGCGATTTAGAACAGGCTTCATTTAGAGCAAAACGGGCGTCATTTCAGGGACCGCGGAGCTGGGGGAGGGGGCTTAATAATTTTCCATACATATGTGATTTTTATAAATTAAGAACACTGAAATCTTTCAGATCAGTTAACAATATATTTATAACTTATTTAGCCAAGTATTCGGTCTATTTCTAGTTAAATTAAACAAACGACGGGTAATATTAGAGAGTCGTTTATTAAGAAACTTTTTAACAGCAACTAGTAATTAAGTTTGATTACATTTCCGGGGCTCTGGGAGAACTCAAATTCCAAATTTCTTAATATAATCCACCAAATCCCCCTTAATCCACAAATGGGTCCGCGGTCCCGGAATTTAGTTGAGCTCCATCGGAAATTTTACAAGCTTCCATGGCTAGCATGTGGTCGGTACAAGCTCGTTCGTCAGTCGGTTGAAATGACCTTACATCCCCCTGAAGAATTTCCTGAGGACGGCCCTGGGTGGAGGTGGGGGATGGGGGCAGGGGCTTCAACCCCAGAAAATTGAAGTTGGGCCAATTTAATTTTAAACTTAAATTTTGAAAAAATATAAGGAAATCAGGAAATATTTAGTCGAGCAAAATGCAAAATTTGGTAAAATTTGTCTTTTTTCCCCAATGTTTTCTGCAGTGAAAGTCGATAAAGTTTTTTCCTACAAAGATATATTGGTTTCTTCATGGAATGAGTGGTATTACGCATACCCTGTAGCATGCTAAAATGAATTTTTAATGTTTGTAGAGTTCACTTGTTGGGTTCTGAGAATGAAAGTTTAAAAAAGAAATTAGAAAAGCAAAATCAATCGTTGAGGTAATTATCAGTGGCATCGATAGCTGAGATTGCTGCTTTTGTATGAGCGGCATGTGAAACTCTCTGGCATTATACGGACAATAAAAAGCATGTCACGGACGATTTCCAATGAAGGTTATGACGAATAGGTTGTATTTACCATACACAATATTTTAACCATTAAATAGTACGCCCAAAAAGGTTATTGTTACTATGCGTAGGCAATTCGCAAAGGGGCTGCTGGGAAAAGTTCGCGAGTCCTTCCATTCGTGAGTTTCTTCAGTTCGTTGTTTAATTAACTACTTTAAAAATACCGCGGTCAAACGTAAAGCGCATGCGCAAGTATACTGAAATTGCGAGCCAAAATTATAGGAGTAAATATACGGACAAAGAAAAGCGTTTACCCTAAAACGGTTGAATGTATAAGGTAGAGAATCTCACCGCTTTTTCGTTGTGTCAGGACGACGATATGCTATATAGCTTCGTGATTTCATGCTATATCCAGTCTTACAAGTGGAAGTAATGTTCATTTGCAAGCAATAATTTAGCTACATACTGTACATGTTCATTTCCCACTGATTTACCCTGTTTTTTTTTACAAATAACCAGTCCAAGAAGAAGATCAGATTTTGTACCTGATCAATTAGTATGGATGTAAGATTCGCAATCGATTTGATCTTTCATTTTGACGTTTCTCTTAGGCCTACTCTGGACCGGTAAATCGCCTTAAATCGCTGCGATATAATGCGATTTTGGGCGATTTTAGGCGATTTAAGGAAAAACTGGGACTTTCAAGCACTGCGATTTAATGCGAAGTAGTACATACGCGGACCGTTTACCGAGTTTACTACATACACGGTGGACGTATATAGGCAAGTAAAAGTTTCTGGTGGAGCATGCCTCCATGCGGGTCCCGTGCTTTTGGCGCTTGGTACATGTGCCTTCACATTATCGTCCTTAAGCACACTGCGAAGAGCAACGTAGCCTGAAGATGTGCGTGGATGGTGTCTTCGACGCTACCCCTGTGGTCGCTCATAAACTTTTTTTAGTTTCCCAGCATGTTTACACTCTTTCGTTAACACACACTTTTTTGCCGAGCAAAGCGACCGCACAGCTCTCTAAAGTTTAGACCAAGTTACTCTCTTGGCGAGAACATACGACTCGCCAACAATTTGCGACTTATGACATGTATGCCCCTTCAAGCTATTTTACTTTATTTAACTAGATCTTTAACATTTCAATTGAGCAAGCTGAAATCAATTGGAGCTCGAGAAAAATCCATCAGTTACCAAAATCAAGGGACTCAGACAGGAACCTGCTTAAAATGGTTTGTAGATTTGGTCATGGTACTGTAATCTAAGTTTCATACAATGTAGCTTCTACGGTTGAGAGCTCTTTTTCGAGCTTAAACTTCCACATTCCCGAGGGTCATTTGGAAAAATGAGCAAAAAGTTGATGTTGCGAAATAGCGCGAAATTACATGTAAAACAATTAAAACTGAAAATTACGTATTTCACATCACATTTTGAAATATATTTTGAAATCGTGTTGAACAGAAACGGGCATACAGAAGGGGGACGCTTAGGGGGATTCCACGGTGTTTGAAAAAATAATCACACCATGTTATGAGGGGGAGGTGTATCAGAAAGGACTGTCACATGATGGAAAGATGAGAATTTGTGTAGTCGAGGCCACGAAAATGATAAGTTAAAACTGACATGAAGTATTTTCATACCCTGAATACGATGAGGTGAACGCTGTTATCAGTGGCGGATTACCCAGGAGGTTGAGTAGGCTGAAGCCTACAGGAGCGGGCTTTCAAGAAGTCTGTGATTTTCAGATAATGTACTTTTTATTAGAAGTATTATTTTTCTTGTCCTTAATTAGAAATGAGATGTTGATACTGCATGTTAATCCAAAGCATATGAGTTCCTCGGTTTTCATGAGTCGTGAGAATCACCGTTACAACTTACACAAAGTTTAACTGCGCTACGTTAAAACTGCTATAATTAGTGGATATTTCCACTGATCTTCTTAATTTTATAAAAGTAAAGGAACGGGAGGAGCAGAAAAGTTGATAAGAGGCTGAACTTAAGTGGGTTCCAAATGTTCAGAAATTCATGAGCTCTGCTGCATGTACACCTTCGTTATCATTGCCTAAGTCAGCAGAACTTGCGTGGAAATGTCATCCCCAAGGCCCACGAATCTTTCCTAGCCTACAGGACCTTTAAGTTTCAATCCACCACTGGCTTACACAAACTCCCCAAAGTTCAATTAAAAAAACCCAGCACAAGTTCTAGTCCGTTGTGATATATAAAAATAAAATAAAACACTTATTGATAAGAAGAAATGTAGTAATTAATGCAAATAGCATCGCTATAAGAAAAATAAAAGTTAATCTAACACATGCTCTCATTTGTTTGCAGTTGGGGGGATGGGGGTTGCTCAGAGTCATGTGAAGAGGAACGAGCCTCCGATCAAATAAATCGCGAATCTCAATTCCGTCATACTTGATTAGTTTTACAATCACAACCTCGCATGTGATTTGTAAAATGTGTCAAACCGCTTAGGCAGATAAAGATGTTCAGTAGCTAATTATAGCAAATTACAATAATGTTCATTTGCAGGCAATAATTTAGCTACATACCGTACATGTTCATTTGCCACTGATTTAAAGTTTGTTTTACAATATCTTATGTAATATTTGAATAACCTACGCTAATATTTTCTAGTTATCTTCAAAAGCAGCCGGAAAAAGAAGTTTCAGGAGATTTCAAAGTCCAGTCTGGTAAAAATGGTCGAATAGCTGTACAATCAGATTTCATGGAAAATTATCGAACACCTTGCAGTATTCGCAGCGAGTACACTGATTTCAACAGCATTTTACATTCCCGTAGTCTTCGTGACCGAGCCTGACATGATGGATCTGTCAGTGTGTACCTTGAATCCTTGATCTGTACAATCCAGACCATTTCGGATGGTGGAATTACAGGAGCATAGTATTTTACACGCATGGTCTCGACTTCAGACCTCAACAGAAATCAAACAGAAAGTAAAGTCGAAGATCTGCGTTTATAGCTAATGCTACCAATCGGTAATTATGCAAATGGTCAATAACAGTTGAGCTCAATGCTTAAGGACAGTGTTAAGTGCAAGGCGCCGTTCATTATTTATACCTTAGGTTCATGGGGTGGGAGATTTTTAAATCATATAAAAAAATGGGACTCCCGTTATGATGTGCTCAACAATGAAGATCTCTCTTAAATACACTGTATTTAGAGTATACCCCCAGTTCTAATCTTCATTTATGCAACTTTCTGACCACGTAGAAAGCACATTTTCCAACATGCATTATAAGCGCTAGAACGTTTGTTTGCATCAATAAATAACTTTCGTATATGACCATGACAAAAATTTCTCATTCGCCACAAGTTTTTGTTTGCGAACAATCTTCGTCCCACATAAGCAGGCCACTCCCCCTCGCAGGACAAGGTAAAAATTATATGACCCTCCCCTACCCCCATTTTCACTACCTCATTCTAGGGAATAAATAATGGACGTCACTAAATAAATATTAATTCTGTGCAAAAGCGCACATAATAGTTTAATATTATAGTTTGTGCAATAATTAGTGTCATGGGAGTCATGTTATACGTCCTTGTAAAAAGCACAGCACTGTGTAATGTTGTCGCCTTAAAAAGTTTATATTAAAATAAAGAATTAAAAAAAAACATTTCCTATAACGAACATTCCACGGACTATCCAAGACTAATCTATTACCGAGAAGTACCTGAGGCCATTGTGCGTTTACACTACAATCTTGGACATAACAATCAAAATAAGATCTTGGACGTAAATATCAGAATTCCGTTGATAATCGTTGTTTTAATCCTGGGATTTGGATTGCTTTAAACGTGTTTAACTACGACTATATAGGCCTTAATAGACCAATACGTAATTTCGACTGCATGCGTCCAAAATGGAGTTGAACTACTATAATAATTTACCATATACCTGAGACAGGGAGAATTAGAATATGCGTATCAAGGCGCCTAACTGCTTAATTACATTTGAATATGCAAAAAGTGCTAAAAATAACCAATCAGTGTCCTCACAGTTGACCCGTTTTAAATTAGAAAATGAATCCTTTAGGTGTACCTTCCCGCTATTATTTTGCTAAACACAGAAGATAATATATGCTGGTACAAATATTATTTAACGCACATTTCTATATTTGTTTCTATAAGTGAAACTTGAACAAGTTGAATAGTTTTATATGCATATTCTGATCTTCCAGTATCAGTTATAGTTACATTTATATATACCGCGGCTGCCCCGCCCCCCCAAAAAAGTATCTCAGTTTGATTTAATGTACCGTTAAACTGACCACAAGAGTTGTTTCATTCAGCTAAATTTTATTACATTCAGAAATAACTAACTTAAATTTTGATTAATTAAGATCTCCATGCAATACTGACTGAGATAATTGAAATTTTAGTTTGAATAAGCATATCTGATCAGAAAATGTTAAAAATTAGCATAAATTGGCCTATCCTAAAGAGAGTTGATTAAATTTGAAAAGTTTTACTGTTTTATTGTCGCATGTAAAACATGATTCTTTAAAAGATTTTTTATTTATTCCGATCAGAAAAAGCTTTTCCTTGAACACGAATGCGGCGTCTTGCAAGGAAAACCGTGCCGTCAATAGCACGTTGAATCACTTGTTGATCCCGGATTGGCATGGAAAGATAATTTCCTCACGCAGTTGTCTCACTGCTGCTGCCCATGCGTACCCGAAGATATCGCATTGTCGCATTGCTTGTATGGCAAGGAGCACCATCTTGCTGCCACCATGCACATAACATTTCTGCCGATCAGTTGTGTAGTAGTAAAGTGGTAAAAACTTTATTTACCCACGCTAACCCTGTCAACCGAAGCTGATTTCCACAGGGGGCGTGCAATAAGAAAGTACAAGAATATTTACAAAAGCTAATTACAAAAGATAATATCAACTAAATCTAAGTAAATCTAAGTAAATCTATATATATTTACAGGTTTATATTTAATGTTGTTTTAGGTTCTTGTTTTAATTAAAAATGTGAGTAGCAATTTTATTTTGAAAACATGATAAGGATTTGCACTCCCTAATTTCGCTTGGAATAGAATTCCATATGTGAGCACCGTCGTACATGAAACTATATATCATATTATTAGTTCGAGGTTGTGGCAAACGAAGACCACTGGAAATACCCCGAAGTTTGTGACTTGTCACCTCACTTTTATAGGTAAAAAGATTTGCGAGTGACTGATTTGTGTGAGTGATTTGTGTGTGCGCAAATACATCAAAGTGCATTAATGTTGCTTTATTTCATTTCTCAGGGGTCACGAAAATCTAACAAAATATTAAATCTACTAGAAAATAATTAACAATTATTCGTCGAAGGCGAGGTGACTATTGGGAAATATTCCCCAATAATCACCGAGCCTGAGGCGAATAATTGTTTAGTATTTTTACACAAGTCCTTTGTGCTTTTTGGGACTGAATTTATTTTAATTTCGCTTAATTCTTAAACAGTAACTTCCACAAAACGGCTAGCCGCCACTTTGTAAATTTTGGTTTTGTTATATTCACCCATTCGTTAAAAGGTATCAACTTCGCTTAAAAAGCGAATATTTGTAGGTGATAAAAATAAAAATAGAAATTTCAAAAAATATGGCGGTATCAATGTGATGACGCTATCCCAGGAACCTTTGCGCGTGTTGTAAGAAATCTAGTATAATTGTATCAAACCGCGCTCATCGATTTTCGCCATGTACCTTCACAAACACTATATGACTATAATGTAGTTTCCATGAACTCATGGAGAATTTAAAATTAACTCAATCAAAACGTTGGTATCGAAATTGAGCCGGGAGACCGGATTTCACACTAGAGTGACCAGACTGACTAGAGACACTTTAGTCTCAAACACATCGGCTAATATTTCGTCTTGTTCTGTTGTTCATACAATTATATACTAATAATTAGTACAATCTTTATTAAATAAAATGCTTGAAGAAGGAATATCTTCAAAGAACTGCCAACATTTTAGATATTGTCTTTTCTCGTGTATTGTCTTGTCTCCTTGTCCGAGATCGGTCAAATGGACTCTTCGAAGAGTAGTGTTACTCTCACGTGGAGTAGCAAGATTCTCGCGAAGAGTTATTTTGACCCTCGGCCATGGAGTCAAAACTATACCCTTGGAGTTGAAACGACCCTTTCGAGGAGTAGAAACTACCCTCTTTCCAAAGGGACGGAAATGACTCCTAGGGGTCAAAACTACTCTTCTGAATTAACAGTGTACACTTAATGTCTGTTCCCGAGGGAAATAGTTTATTTTGTTTTCAACACGGAAAATGTTTTATATTTGTTAACCGTAAAACGATCAGGAAGATAAATAAATTTATTTAGTTTATCTTCTGTTTTGTCTTGTTGGGAGTAAAGAGCATCTATTGCAATGAAACTAAAGGCTTTTTATACAGTTTTTATGAATTTTATCGACGCGTCGTTTTAGCAGTTTATCAGCCATACTTGTACTAAACTAACAGAGGTACTAGTATCTGATCTCAAATGTACTTCGCAACTGGAATTTTATCGTAATTCATTATAACCATGAACCATCAAATAAAAAATAACGCGTTTTATTATCTGATACACAAGGCCTGGATATGAGGTATTCTGCAATCTGATTGGTTCTCTACTAGCAGGATATTAGCTCATATCCTGCTAATAGCGAAAAACAAAATGGCGGTTGAAACTGAATTTCCGACGTTTGCGAATGAGAAAACGGCAAGTTGTTCGCTTTTTAAAGCCTTTACAGGATTAAAAACACAATAAAAAAACTCCCACAAATTGTTTACAGGTTAGCAAATGAATTTTTAAAATTTAAAATGGTTAAAAATACAGTATATTTTTGAAAAAATATTCGGCCGAAAGAGCGAAGATAAAAAACATAAAAAAATAGAAAAATATTGAAAGTCTGTGAATTCAGACCTTGTGTATATAATAAAACAGTTATTCCACTCACTCTCGTTGAATATGAGCGATAGCCGATTCGGCGTTACGTGCCTCATCGGCTATCAGCTCATATTCGACTCGAGTTCCTGTTAGGCTAAATATACCGTTTAGGTCGGTCCGCACTAAAAAAATATCAGTTTCCTTCGGCCTCATGCAGAACCAAATTCATGCAACAGCTGTGTATAAAACGAATATATGAAATATTGTTATAAAGCAAGTGCTGCAATGGACGCTAAATGTGATTGGCTGATTTCTGGTCACGTGGCTTTAGATAAAAGCAATGTATCCCGTCGAACAATAAGTGAAACACTATTCCAAGCCCGATCATCCAACATGGCGGCATCGAGCAAAGGAGAAATTGACAAAACAAGACAAAATGAAAAGTAAAGTTTCGCTGGTTAATCACATTGTTTATTTAATCAACCACAGTTTATTATCTCATTAATATAGGTAATAGGAAGGTTTTAACTCACATTTTTAGGGAACTGTACATTGACAAAGGTTTCGTGGTTTGTTATATTGCTTTATCCAACGCTAACGGCTTGATAATTTCACTGAACTATGCAAGTTTTGTTAGTCTTATGGTGAAGTCTACCGGAACTCAATTTTTACTTTACGAAGCGCGCCCGCCATGTTCGTTTTGTCAGGGCGCTGTAAAACACGGGCGGTGAAACGGCTATGGCGCCCCTGATCTATGTGTGATGCAGGTCCCCCCGCATATTTTCATTTTTATTCGATGCCTGGTTCGATCAGGCATGTTTGTTTTGACTTCCTTTTAAAATTACTACGTAAAAAAGTACAATTCGAGCATGAATACACAATGGATTTGGGATCTGTGCTATTTAAAAACTATAGACAAAATCTTTTTTCCGGATTCTTAATCACGGCTGATTATACAGGGAACGTTGTAGTGTAGATAGAAGTCTGGGATCTCACTCACGAGGATCGATTGTTTTTGCAAAACAACTTCGTTCGTGTGTTTGTTTATAAGATGAAAAAAAGACGAAGATAAAGCTTTTTAAACGGCTGTTGTCGTAAAACCTGCAACTGGAATGTGTGTTTGGAAATCAGGTATGTTCAATCACACGTATTTTTGTCGAGTTCGACCAGATGAAGCGCCATAAATTGATAAAAACAGCGAGTTCTTTTTTTCAAGCGATAGTTTGTTGTCGCAGTTTTACAAGCGCGGAAAATTTTTAACTTTTAAATATTTCATGCACAATATATGAAAACTAGTTTTATTTTGATGTTTTTGGATAATTCAAGTACCTAATTTTCTGAAAATCACCAAATGATAATGGGCTTTTTTAATTTTTAAACATTTTTTTGCCCTTATTTTTGACATGCACATGCCGAAATCTACACATGGAATACAAGCAAACGATAGTTTGTTGTCGCAGTTAGTACAAGCGCGGAAAATTTTTAACTTTTAAATATTTCATGCACAATATATGAAAACTAGTTTTATTTTGATGTTTTTGGATAATTCAAGTACCTAATTTTCTGAAAATCACCAAATAATTATGGGCTTTTTTAATTTTTAAACATTTTTTTGCCCTTACTTTTAACATGCACATGCCGAAATCTACACATGGAATACAAGCAAGCGATAGTTTGTTGTCGCAGTTTTACAAGCGCGGAAAATTTTTAACTTTTAAATATTTCGTGCACAATATATGAAACCTAGTTTTATTTTTATGTTTTTGTATAATTTAAGTACCTAGTTTTCTGAAAATCACCAAATGAGAATGGGCTTTTTTAATTTTTAAACATTT